ACTTTAAAGCGGGACTAAACTGCAGTGGAAACGCAAACTGAGCCGTGCTGTGCCGAGCCGTACCATGCAGTGGAAAAGCGCCATAAGTTTCTATGAGTGCTGTTGCGCTCATCTGTTTTGTTTTCTGCACGACTCTCTCTCTCACACACACACACTCACTCAGGCTGCTACTCATCTGGTACAACACAAATACATTATCAATCGCCATAAGTGTGACGTCAAAACAGACCGGCTCGGAACCGGCAGACTGACAGGCCGGTCACCGGTCCTGGCCGATCATGCGGAAAACCGGCTAATTCCGGTCCCTGGCCGGTCGATCGGTGCATCTCTAAAAACAATCCAAGGAAATCTGTACCTTTTCATGTCTTGTCCCTTTCTTTTGGCTGGAGATTCTCCTCCATTGAGAATTTGCTCTAGGTTCTTGGTTTCCACAGAACCGTTCTGCTCTGAGCTGGACAGCCCCAGTAACGACCGCACTCTCTGCGACCGGACATCCAGTATTGTGTCCGTATAACCTACTTCCTGAAGATATCTTGAAGGACAGAGATGTATAAAGACAGTAAGAACAGAGCTCAGACAATCAGGTGATATAAATAGCCATAATGTGATGATGCACATGCCCATGAACTTCCACACAGACAAAGTATCATTCAGAAAAGCATAATGACTCAAGACTAACTTACTGTCTGAGGAGTTGCCTGCCCTGTTTCCACGTTAACTGGCTGTTCTGAGGTATAGCCAAGACCTCTGTATCTTTGGTATCTTGTTTAAGAAACAAAATAAACAATAAAACCACATTAGTAAAAGCAGAACAAAACATATGAATATACACATACAAACTAAATACCATTCAAAAGTTTGGGGTTAGTAGTGTTTCTTGAGCAGCAAATCAGCATATCAGAATGATTTCTGAAGGATTATGTGACACCAAAGACTGAAGTAATGGCTGCTGAATATTCAGCTTTGCCATCATAGGAATAAATGACATTTTAAAATATATTAAAGGAGTCATATGCTGCTAAAAATAACATTATTTTGTGTATTTGGTGTAATGAAATGTGTTTATGCAGTTTCATTTCATATAATTTAGTTATATAATTTCATATACATCATTTGATTTAATAATAACCCAATTTGAAGCAAAAACAGAATGTTCTGACTAGCTTTGTGAAATTATACTACATGCCTGAACCAAACAAACAGCAGAAGCTCTGAATGAGACGCATATTCACTCTCTGACAGCAGGAGGCGCTTCTGGAACACCACATACTGCGTTTCCTTGGTTACCACAGTCTATGGCTGAAACACTGCTTTAATTTGAACTATACATAGACGAGATGAAAAGACAATACCATCTAAACTTTTCTGAAGGCAGTCAGTTCCCCTCAGAAACACATTCATATAAATCAGTACTGAGGATTTTCTTCCAATAGTTCGTGCATCATGATCTGCTACAGTACAGTGATCTGCCTGCTACAGTATTTTTCTCTGTGCGTCCGTCTTCAGCGTCTCTGGCCTGTGTTAACGGGCATTTACAGACTTCATATTTTCACATAAATTACATTTTGGAAAACGATTGCATTGCAACGCAGTTTGTGCAAGTCCAGAACAGAGACAAAAACCGTCCGGTTGCCGATTGTGTAAGTTCCAGGGGCAGCTCCTTAAGTTCATCCATCCTACACACACGTGACTGACAGCTCGCTCCAACAGGAGGAGGGTCGTGTTACTCTCTACACTGCACTCAACCTGAGGGATTCCTACACTTTCAGTCTTTGAGGAGACATGAAAAACAGCGCATACCACAGGAACGGTATAACGGAAAATATTAGCGGTTTTGAAACCGTGAAATTTTCAAATCGCGGTATACCGTGAAACCGGTAATCAGCCCATGCCTACTTGTAACACTCCAAAGAGTAAGGAAAAATTTAAATCGCATCATATGACCCCTTTAAAATAGAAAACAGTTGCTTTAAATTGTAATTATATTTCACAATATTACTGGTTTTACTGTATTTCTGATCAAATAAATACAGCCTTAAGAGACTTCTAACCTTAAAACCTAAATTTTTGCCAACCTCAAACTTTTGAATGGCAGTGTGTGACGATTTTCATGCGAGGTGCCAGCCTGGTAGCTAATCCAGACAATTTTTTTGTAATTTAAAGCAAACCGTCTCAAAGGAATCTAATAAATTTTGTATCCATTTATAGGATCCTTATCATATCCTGTTTATTTTGCTGTGTTATGTTATCAATTCAAATGACCCTTCATCAACCAACCAAGTAGGTGAAACAACATATATTCATATATACAATTTCATGAAATATCATCTTCTCTGAGTTCAAAAGTACAATAAATCCAAACATATCATAAGTACAACATTCCAAACATATCAAAAAACACAGACACAAAAATACAACTCCACTGAAATGCGATTCATATGCAAATTCATAACTCCCAGTCCATTCAAAATGTATTTAGCAATTTGATTTGCACCTATGTAACCGGTATGTACTAGAACTGAATCAGAATGCAGATTTCGGTGCCATGCCTGAGCTATCGATTGAAATATTTGTCCTCTGGTTCTCCGAAACGGATGTAAGAAGCATCATCACCGGCACCGCACGTGAAAAATAATTTCCCGACTGAGAAAATGCACGTGAACTCAAGTCGGAAATCTCTAATAATACAAATCCAACAAATCTTAGTAACGAGAGTGTCCATGTTGTTTTCACATTCTGACTTAAGCACAACTCGGGAAATGAGAGCATCCGAGGAGCGCGTGAATGCAGTAATTACACTTGCTCTGACGGCAGCAGGTAACCTTCCGTTAACTAAGCTAAACATGCTTAAATTATTTCTAAACCTGTTGTCCAACAAAAGAGAACATTATAACCTTTTCACTCCACAACACACAGATAAACTATATTGTCGCAGTCGAGTGTTTATTGTCTTTGTTTTATCATTCAAAACGTTTATATGTTCTGTTTACTCAGTTAACTTACAGCTATAATAGTGATGCCTTTGTCCATTTAAGGGATTTCCTAAATCATGTTAACGGCATAATTTCTCTCCAAACACATCATCAGCGGGAGAATCAAACACTCCCAACACGACTTCAGCGGCAGACTCAATCACTCCAAACACAGCATCAGCGGGAGAACCAAGCACTCTGAAAAACTTCAACAGTAGATTCAGCAGGAGATTCAAACACTCATAGT